GTGGAAATCAACCCATGTCCATGATCAGGCGCGCCGGAAGCAGTTCGGGATTGGGGGGGGGGGGGGCAAACATTCCAGGGGCTCACCTTCCAGGGGCAGTGACGTAATGACAAAAAAAAGTTCGGAAGGGGGGGGGGCAGACGAAAAATCTGCATCACCACCAGTCTTCAAAGTGGAGTATTATTGATCAGGTAGAGCGTAAATTGGCGTGGGGTCCAGGGCATGAGCCTTGGCAGGGGGTCAAGGGGCTGAGCCCCCGGAAGCTCAGGGGTTATAGGTATTTAATTACGGTTAGATGAGCATCCAGGGGCCCTCTTTAAGGCCATTGACGTGTTCCAAGGGAGGGGGGGGGAGAGCAACCAGAAGCTCAGAGGTTTTAATATTTAACTACGGTTAGATGAGCATCCAGGGGCCGTCTTAGGGCTATTGATGGGGTCCAGGGGGCAGAGCCCCCGGAAGCTCAGGGGTTTAAGGTATTTAATTAAGGTCAGATGAGCATCTAGGGGGCCGCCTTAGGGCCCTTTGTGGGGTCTAGGGGGCAGAGCCCTGGAAGCTCAGGGGTTTGAGGTATTTAATAACGGTCATATTAGCATCCAGGGGCCCGCCTTAGGGCCCTTGGTGGGGTTCCAGGGGGCAGAGCTACCGGAAGCTCAGGGGTTTTAGGTATTTAATTACGGTCAGATGAGCATCCAGGGGCCCGCCTTAAGTCCCTTGGTGGTGTCCAGGGGGCAGAGCCCCCGGAAGCTCAGGGGTTTTAAGCATTTAATTACGGTCAGATGAGCATTTTTTATACCTTATTTGTGACATTGGCAGGTCACTTATTTTTTTTCTCCGTCTTTCTTTCTTTTTCTCTTTAACATACTTTTTCAAAAAGGACGGGGGGGGGGGGGGGGGGGGCTCGAGCCTAGCCACTTTGCAGACCATGACATAAAGGCTTCTAAATAAGCGTATTTTCGCCTGACTGTAATTTGGGAATTTCTGATATCCCAACAAACGCATAAAAAGGTATGACTTACAAAAAAATGGAGAAAAAATGCCGGAAAATCATGTCACTAAATCAACATTTGTAAATCACTTGTTTCGAATAAAAAAATACACCACCCCCCCCCCACCAGTACGCCAGCGTTCAGGGGCTCATGTCTTCTCACCCCTATAACAAAAAACGGACACGTTTTCTCATTCTCACACAATATGTCCACGATATGCGTGTATCGCTATTATAGAGACCTCCATTGATAAATACCGTATAGGTGGCATGCGCAATGTTTATGAAATTGAATTCCTGTGGACTTTCCTTTTTCTTTGAATGGAAGTGTATATGTGATTTAATTCAGGTTTTTATTATTGTTACGTTCTTTTGGATTAAAAATACAAACCATGTTTACTCCTTTACTGTTTTTTTCTTGTTTTCTTGGAGGGGGGCGTTTTTTTTTTTTTTTTTGGGGGGGGGGGGGGGGGCAAAAATGCGTTTTGCCCCCCCCCCCCCCACTTCCGGCGCCTATGTCCATGATTGCAAAGTTAGCGGTACAGATTGAGTATGTTTCAAACACATTCGGGACTGAACGGAAATATTTCGAAATAACCTTTATGCCTACAGTTCCGTGGACACTATTCAAACGCGATGAGTGCAATCATTTTAAATACCTTTGCACCCAACAAATGCAATCTAAAAATAGACGAGCTCTATAGAGTACTACCGTATATGGTTCAGGTGCAACTATTGAAGCTGTACGAATCACTGGGATAGTATACACACACAAACAAAAGCCACTTAGCCACTTATCCACTTAGCAGGGTATAATAACATTAAATGTATAATCCCCATTTGCGGTCAAGCCTAATCAACAACGGCTATTAATTAAATAAGTATGTAGTTGGCTATTAATTATCAAAATCCTGCTTCGGTGTTTTCTTCCATCATAACTCCCAAAGAGAAAATGAAAAGGAAAAGGAAAACTTATCATCCACTTTGAAAATCATTCCAACTTGAAAGTTCAAGTTCTTATACATAATCAATAATGTTCGGGATGACCCTCTTTTAAAAATTGAAGGTAATGAAATAATATAGTATTAATGACTGCTTTGAGAGAAATAGTTGTTTTTATACGCTCAAGGGAAGGTTAGAATTGTGCTATTGCCCCGAGGCGTGCCGAGGGCAATAGCCCAATTGTAACCTTCCCGAGAGCGTATAAAAACAACTAATTTTGTCGAATATTAAAGCAGTCATTAATACTTTTATATGCCGAAAAAAAATAGACTAAAAAATAAAAAATAAACAAACTTTTGTCAAAGATGGGATTCGATCTCTTGCGTACAAAAGGTGATGTAACTAAAATCAGCGCCTTAAACCGCGCGGCTATCGCGCTCTGTTACCATACTTAACAGTTTTCTCTAATATATACATTAAAATGGATTTAAAACGGCTTCGCGTGATTGATGATTCGCGGCTGCTTCATTAATCGGGCCCTTCTTTTACTTTTGCAATGCATATTGGCACGAACTTAGATCAAGATCTATCGGCAGATGTTTTTTTGTTTTTGGAAGTTTATTTTCGTCTTCATGTCAACAATGCAAGATAAAATTGTCGGTAAGATCGATCGAGATTCAATTGTATTGAAATTACCGACCAATTCTTCGCACACGTACGGTATCCTCGATCGCTCAAACCATTTTTAACATGTAAACCTATGGGGTAACCATGGAGACTGACCTATTTTCCCAATAACCATGGTTATTGGGATAATAGGTCTGTTTTTACAGGAATAGTTAAAGTTTATGAATGCAATTTCGACCAATCAGATTGCTGGATTACTTAAGTGAGGTATATAACAGGTAATAATTTGATTGGCTGTTAGTAAATTAGTTGTCGATCTTTACACTATCAAGTTTCAGTGACATCTGAATTTCAATAAAGGTGCTTTTAAGAAGTCGAGATTTCAATTGAAATTGACCACTTTTGATGACTGAGTTTGTCTCTTGATGATTTTATCCCATGTTGAAGAATTTGTTTGAATTTGTCATGCTGCCTCTTTTTGTATATTCCATTATTGTTGCTTATAGTATATGTCATAATTTTAATTACTGTCTATTTGTTTTATTCCCGGTTGAATAGTCTATATCTTATAATCACCCTAAAATGAAGAAGACATGTACAAACAAGGACTTTCTAATATAATTAGGCCTATAATGTTCTAATCCCCAGTGATGTTCATATATTTAAATTGAAAAATGATCTCATATCAAAGAAAAAAAAGAAAAAATATCGCAACAAAGCATCGCCTGACATGCTTTGCCGCATTACTATAAATTTGTCAAAATGTGAACAGCGCCATCTCGGAATAGGTATTATAGCCTGCATGCAATATCTGTACAAATATTATGAGTCACTGGCATAGTATACACACCCAAACATGACCCATTCTGTTATTAGCAGTTGTATTTTCTATTCTTAGACATTCGATCAATTCTATTTCAACGCGTATAATATACCATTTAATGTTCTTGCTTTTTAATTTCTTTCATTATTATGCATGTTTATACAGAAAATATAATATCAAATCATAAACTATAAATTGTGGATGAAGAAAAAAATATCAGGGTGAAGAATCGTTGTACACCTTATTAAACTCCCATTTACATCTAAAACTTAATTAAAATTAAAATAACAACCTATTTTTACATGTATTTCAAGGTATTACCATTGTCTATCTATCTATACTTCATCAAAATTTGATGGCAACAAAATTAAAGACAATAATGAAAGAACAAAATAGAATATTTAATATTCTATTTCGTTCTTTCATGTTGCCTTTAATTCATATTCTATTTTGTTCTTTCATATTGTCTTTAATTTTGCTGCCATCCATCACCCTGTTCTCAGTTGAAATGCAACAAATAAAATTGTTCAAAACATGTGTGTATATGTGAGGGTATATAGGTCCTATTATCAATTCACAATATTTTTAAAGAATAACATTATGTAGATGAAGTGAGAAAGGAAACTTCAAGGGCATAATAACATTTAATCCCCATTTACGGTCTGTTTTGGCCTAGCCTAATCAACAATAGCTTTTATCCTTAGTAATTTGATAAATATGTAGTTGGTCTATTACTTATCACAATTCTGCTTCAGTGTTTTCTTCCATCATAACTCTATAAAAGAGAAGATGGAAAGGAAACGAAAACTTTCCAGTTCATTTTGCAAAATCATTCGGACTTGAAACTGAGTGTTCTTATGTACAATCTATATTTTTACAGATGACCCTCTGTTATATAGAATTATATCTTAAGGTATACACAATAACTGATAATAATTTGATTGGCTGTTAGTAAATTTGTCATCAAACTTTACACTATCAAGTTTTCGTGAAAAGGGCCCTGAATTTCAGTAAAATAATGTGCTTTTAACTAGAAGTCGAGATTTGAAATTGAATTAGAATTGACCACTTTTGATGATTTTGATAATTTTTGATGAGTTTTGATAATTTTTTCCCATGTTGCAGGATTTGTCAAAATTGTTCATGCTGCCCCTTTTTATGTATATAAAGAAATACTTTTATGTTCCATTATCGTTGCTTATAAAATAATTGTAATTACTGTTCATTTGTTTTGTTCCCAGTTTGAATAGTTTATATTTATTGGCCTAAAGTGAAGAAGACATGTAAAAACAAGGACTTTCAAATCTAATTAGGCCTACAATGAATGTTCTAATCCCAGTGATGTTCATATATTTTACATGCAAAATGATCTTATATCAAAGACAAACAGAATACATCGCATTAGATGTGAATGTGATTAAAAACATCTTTATTCTGTAATGTTCAAACTGTCTAAAACTTGGAAGATTTCGTAATTTCTCTTTCAATCCAATGAAAGAGCTATCCGGGTGCTATTTTTAGAATGCACGGGTACAACGTATAAATACCACCGACCTCTAGTGAGATGTTCATAGTAGACGCGTACAGAGAATAAGCGCTGCATAGGTTTACCATGTCATGGATTCGATTGTCAAACGGATAAATTTGGATTTAACACAAGAATTTGAGCACAATAAATAAGCTATTATATTTTTGATGCCCCCGTAGCTTGCAGTTGCAACTTTTTGGTGAGTTTTAAGCACTTTCTTGTATTTATTGCTGTTACTTTAGTTACGTGTGTTATCGAAGAATTTTTCGGAAGGTCGAAGGCAAGTTTAGGATTTCGATTTCTGCAACGGCACCGGGCGGACAGATACACCACCGTGGCTTATGCCATTAGGGTGGGTAGCGTCGCGTCGCGGCGCGTTGACTTGAACGCGACCATTCGTCCAAAGCCCCCCCCCCCCGGTTTGACCGAAAGGGTGCGTTGGGAGTGTCGCGTCGCGTCGCGTTAACTTGAACGCTACCATTCGTCCAAAGCACCCCCCCCCCCCGGTATGGCCGAAAGGATGTGTTAAAATATTTAAAAAGTATTTAAAAAATAATAATCCTGTAAATCAAGGGTATCGAATAAGAAATAAACCACGTTTGAATTATATTTGGCATCTGTCACCCCCCCCCCCCCCATTACTACGCCAATGTTTTAGGTTTGTTGGCGGGATTAATCGCAACTGTTCCCTTCTTTTTACCCTTTTCTTTTCCTTTTCCTTTTCCTCTTTTTTGTTCCCTTTTAGCTCTCCTCTTTACCTTTCTCTTTCCCCATTTTTTTTTTGTGGGGGGGGGGGGGGTGCCCCTTCTTTTCTTCTCCCTATTTTTTCCTTCCCTTTCTCTCCTCTTTTCCTTTCCCTTTCCTTCCTTCTCTCTTATTTTTTGATGGGGGGGGGGTAACAGCTGGGAGGCAAGGCCCTTTCGCCCCCCGATCTCCTTTCCCCCTTTTTTCTTATCGTAGCTGATCTCCCCTACCTTTCTTTTTTTCTTTCCCTTTCTCTCCTATTTTCCTTTCCCTTCCTTCTCTCTGTTTTAGGTTTGCTGGGGAAAGGGCCTTTCGCCGCCCCCCCCCCATCCACAATTTGTTGGCGGGATTAATCGCAACTGTTCTCCCCTTCTTTTTACTCTTTTCTTTTCTTCTTCCTCTTTTTTTGATGGGGGGGGGGGGGGGGTAACAGCTGGGAGGCAAGGCCTTTTCGGCCCCCCGATCTCCTTCCCCCCTTTTTTCTAATCGTAGCTGATCTCCCCTACCTTTCTTTTTTCTTTCCCTTTCTCTCCTATTTTCCTTTCCCTTTCTCTCCTATTTTCCTTTCCCTTCCTTCTCTGTTTTAGGTTTGCTGGGGAAAGGGCCTTTCGCCGCCCCCCTCCCCGATCTCCTTTCCCCCTTTTTTTCTTCTTCTTTCTTTCCCTTTCTCTTCTTTTCCTTCTCTCTCTATGTCTCTCTTTTGTGCGGGGGGGGGGGGCAAAGGGCTAAGGGCTCTTGCATACCTATCTCTATCTCTATTATTTATTTTTAGGCGGGGGAGGGGGAGGAGGCAAGAGCCCTTTGCCCCCGTTTCCCTCTTTTCTTATTCTTCCTCTTCTTTCTTTCCTTTATCTTCTCTTTCCCTTTCCCTTTCCCTTCTCTCTCTCTCTCTCTCTCTCTCTCTTTCTCTATTATTTATTTTTTGGCGGGGGGAGGCAAGAGCCCTTTGCCCCCTCTCCCTCTTTTCTTCTTCTTCCTCTTCTTTCTTTCCTTTATCTTCTCTTTCCCTTTCCCTTTCCCTTCTCTCTCTCTCTATTATTTATTTTTTGGTGGGGGGGGGAGGCAAAAGCCCTTCGCCCCCGTCTCCCTTTCTTCTTCTTTCCTTTATCTTTTCTTTTCCTTTCCCTTCTCTCTCTCTTTCCCTCTATTATTTATTTTTTGGCGGGGGGGGGGTGAAAGGCAAGAGCCCTTCGCCCCCTGTTTCCCTCTTTTCTTCTTCTTCCTCTTCTTTCTTTCCTTTATCTTCTCTTTCCCTTTCCCTTCTCTCTCTCTCTATTATTTATTTTTAGGCGGGGGGGGGGGGGAGGAGGCAAGAGCCCTTTGCCCCCGTCTACCTCTTTTCTTCTTCTTCCTCTTTATTCTTTCCTTTATCTTCTCTTTCCCTTTCCCTTCTCTCTCTCTCTCTCTATTATTTATTTTTAGGCGGGGGGGGGGGGGGGGGGGAGGCAAGAGCCCTTCGCCCCCGTCTCCCTTTCTTCTTCTTTCCTTTATCTTCTCTTTCCCTTTCCCTTCTCTCTCTCTCTCTTATTTATTTTTTGGCGGGGGGAGGCAAGAGCCCTTTGCCCCCGTCTCCCTCATTTCTTCTTCTTCCTCTTCTTTCTTTCCTTTATCTTTTCTTTTCCTTTCCCTTTTCTCTCTCTTTCTCTCTATTATTTATTTTTTGGCGAGGGGGGGGGGGGGGGGTGAAAGGCAAGAGCCCTTCGCCCCCTATTTATTTTATTTTTTAATAAGCACTCATATGTTTTCTCTTTAGTGATTTAGAAGTCTATTTAAAGCCCCACTGTCCTACTTCACTTGTATTGTAGCTACTTGCTCCGAGCTCCCTCTAGCATGTCTAGACTATAGGCCTATAGAAAACTTCCCCAATTTGTGCCTGTTGCCGTTGGTTCCCCATGATCCTCTTTTTCTTATGTTAGTTGAGAGCTGAGTTAATGAGATAGCCACATGTCAGTGACCTCGCTCTGTGGTCTAATCCTTTCTGGCCTAGTAGTATTGACGGTCTTTAATAGAGCCTCATTAAGTAGCCCCTTAGACCTACCCAAGACGAAAATCCAATTGAATCCCTATTGAATCCCAATTGGCAATTTGGAGTAAATGGAAAGTGAAACAATGGGTACCCATTGAAACCAATTGGCAATTGGTCCCCATTGAAACCAACTGGCAATTGGTTTCAATGGGTACCCATTGTTTCACTTTCCATGTACTCCAAATTGCCAATTGGTATTGAATTGGGATTTAATGGGGGCATTCAATGGGCATTCAATTGGTAAATCGATCCAGTTAGAAGAAACAGTGATAAATTACCATAGAGATATATACTTATTGTTAGTAGTATATATCTCTATGTAAATTACTGATACTTCATAATCGATATTGGCATCTGTCCACCAATTAGGTATATTCCAATCTCATTTGCATTAACTTCATCACATAGATCATTTGAAGTGAATTCAAGAGTTACATTTACAGTGACACAGGCTCGTACAGATATATATACTAAATATGCATGTTGTTTCTTGGTTAGTAATCATATAATCAATATATCTATTGCTAAAACGTAAATGTAATTGTAACATGATCAGAAAAAATAATCTTTTGGTTAATCATTGCCGAAGGAAAATAGAAATCACAAAATTGATGTGCATTGTCATAATTTGCTTAACAAATCATGATTAAATTTATTTTTCTGTGACACGTGTAAAGTGATAATGAATATTCATGAGATGCCTAGATTTGTTGGTTTCTATTGGTTTCTATTGGTCCTATTGGTCCTATTATTTTTATTGGTCTTATTGGTCCTAATGGTTTCTATTGGTCCAGTTGGTTTCTATTTAGCATTGGTCCTATTGGTTTCTATTGATTTCAATTGGCCCTATTAGACTTTAATGGAATTTCAATTGGTTTCAATTGGACCAATTGAAGTCCAAATTAAGGCCAATTGGTCCAATTGAAACCAATTGGGGGACCCATTAAAGTCTAATGGGGCCTAGGCCAATGGGGTCAATGGGTCCAATTTGTCAAATGGGGCCAATCTGGACCAATTGAAACCATCTGAAGTCCTATTAAAGTCCCATTGAAACATGTTAAAACCTATTGAGACCAATTGGAACCAATTGAAACCAATTGAAACCAATTGAAATTTCAATTGGTGTTCAATTGGTTTCAATTGGATTTTCGTCTTGGGAGTTAGTTCTGAAAGATTACGCCAAATTAAGCGCATGGGACTGATCTCAGTCAATCCGATCAACCGCGCGATCCGATCATCAAGTTCAGTTTAATACAACATTACGGTTTAACACTTGGCAAAAAAACCCATAAACTTCTATATTCTGACATTTTACTAGTATACTTAAACACGTACCACACAAAAAACACTATAATATGCAGGAAGACTCATATAAACTCACCACGAAAATGATCAGGAAGCTTGAAGCCCGGTCGCACGTGTCCAGTCTCTCTTCAGTGCTCTTACTTGAAATTCGATGCTCTGAACGAATACATTTGGAATAAGCCCCCCCCCCCCCCCCGTATGTGCCATTTGGTCGCGTTATCTGACCTGACGCGCCTTAACAATCCAACGCACCCTTTCGGTCAAACCGGGGGGGCTTTGGACGAATGGTCGCGTTCAAGTCAATGCGCCGCGACGCGACGCTACCCACCCTAATGGTATAAGCCCACCACCTTTGCATTTACGTAGACTAGGCTGGAGCCTAGCTTTGTCATCGGCTGCACCGGTTCCCTCTCCGGTGGCGGTGGTCGATGCGTTGTGGTAGATGGTGTGATACGTGTATACAGCCTAGACAGTACTAGTAGTACTGCAGCCTACATGTGTAACTTGGTTATGTTGACTTCAAATTGACAAGGACTTTCTATTGTACTTCTTTTAATGCTTAATCAGGGCCCTGTGTTATAAGGTAAAGTAAAGAGTTGCGATTGATTAAAAATGCTTCGCAAATTAAAAAAAAAACAAAACTGTGCGCTTGCTTTAAAGGTACTAACGTTAGATCTAGTCTAAATCTATGTCCCATTTGCAGGCCAAAAAAATGAAAAATTTAAATTCCCACTGCATTTGAAAGATAATACTAATTTTCAGACCCTACAAATGCGTGACGTCACGCCTAATGCATGACACTTGGTAGCTCTGATCCGATACATTTATTCTCGAAAATTAGGCCTAGACTCTAGGTTAGTATACATGTGTACATCGGTTTCACTTACCAGATTGACTGTATAATGCATTTAAGGGACTTTTTCTGGATTTTCTTCTTCGAAATTGAACTCCGTGTTGAAATTCTTGCAGCCTTATTTTAAACTGTTGGCTTTGCTGTCAATGGATGACGTCATCTTCCTTCGTGTGCCATAGGAAGATGATCTCATTAGATTTTGAAGTACATCTACGTACATTAGGTAGGTCAATGGTCTTTGAGGTCAATTTCCAAAATTCCAGGTATTACATTTTTATTTTTTTTAATTACATTGTAGCCTCGCTATCGTGATATCGAACCAACAATAGAGGTAATGTACAGGGCAGCGTCTCACAAAACCGTCATACATGTACATGTAAGTACAAGTTCACAGACATCCATTAAGTTTAACACGCATTTCAATGGGATGTCGGTGAACTTGTACTTATGACGGCTTCATGAAACCTACCAAGCTTCAAACAAGGTGATAGTATGAATCACTATAGGAAGACTATCTAATTCGATTTTGCAGTAAAGCAGGTCAAAGGTTGAGGGTCATAGAGGTCAGTATATGAAATGTCATGCTTTAGCTTTATTTAGAAGTAATATTTAAACTTAAAGTTCATATTACATGTGTATCTCTAATCCTAATCCTAACCCTACAAGTACTGTATGTGTTGGCAGTCCATGTAACCGTAAAATGATGTTTCTTTTCCGTTTTCCTCACACAGGGCGAGATTTTACCGATTCACCGAAACAAAATAATATGGCTGCGATTAGGAAAAAGTTGGTCATCGTTGGAGATGGTGCTTGTGGAAAGACGCGTCTGCTCACAGTATTTAGCAAAGACCAGTACCCCGGCCAGTCAGTTGAGACCTATGTAGCTGATATAGAAGTAGATAGCAAACAGGTGAGATGTTTTTACTTATCATTTGATTCTTACATTTATGTAGTCATGCTGTCCACAGAATCATGCAAGGAACAGTTTATGAATGTCTAGTCGTTACATCTTTACTGTACTGGTATGCAAATTATGTCTGTAGTGTAACTTCAACTTAATTTTTGTAAACTGTGACAAAGGGAAAAATAGTAAGTAGAAGAAATAAAATGCAGAAAAAATGCACATAAACATGTACATTGTATGCAGTCAAACCTGCATTAGTGACTACCCGTCTACAATGACCACCTGACCCACCTGTCTACAAAGACCATATTTTGTTTGTTTCCCTTGAAAATGGTTTCTCACTGAAACATGTACTTAAGGAACCTGTCTACAGGTCGCTATTGACAGGTTTGACTGTACATGTACATACGTACATGTACAATACTGGTTCACTGTAATTGTAAAATAAATACTACAGATGAATAAACTTGAGTGATGAAAATCATGGTGATGAATGATGAGGAACTTAAATTGGAAAGCATTTTTCTCTTGAATCACTTCCCCAGGAACGATGCAGATTGCAGACCTGTTTATGTTTTCAGTTACTGTAAACGTGGTAATAGTGCTTAAATTTGCACAGATTTTGCGCTAAAGTCAGTGTCCACGAATATATAAGCATGACTTAAATGTTTTGAATGGGCAGAATTGCGTGCAAACGGTGCAACGCAAGTTTAAGAACCCGCGAATATGTTTTGAGGTCGCTCAGTGCGAAAAATTAATCATGCAAAAATAACAGCGTTTACAGTATGATGAATACTCAATGACAATTATATTACATATTGATCGTACTCCATGGTTGGTACAGTACACGTGGGAAGGGCTATGTGGCCCACACCCATGATACACTAATCCATGTATCTCGTATCAAGGGCATACAGTGAAGATTTTAGACAGCTACAAAAGTAGATACATGTATGTACATGTACATCTACATGTACGACTGTATGTATAGCTGGAATGTGTCTTTGTCTTAAACTTGATGCAGCATGTTTAATTAATGTACCAGTACTCGTATTATTATTATTATTTTTGTAAGAGTTTTCTCATACATCTATCATGAGGTAAAGAAGAAGAAAAAACAGTACTTTTCAACCTTGAGTCATATAATGTGAATATGATTAGAAAAGAAAGGAATAAAAAGGAAGAAGAACTATAACAGAGAAGTGAATACTGAAATGATGTCGAACGGTGAGCAGCCAAAACAAACAATGTACATGTTTATTGGTCATGAACTTGTATGATATTTTTGGATTTTGTTGTTGGAAAAAAGGATAAATTGATGTAACATGAAAAATTAACCAACTCTTTTCCTTTCTTTCTTTATTTTGTCCAGGTTGAATTAGCATTAGTGGATACAGCAGGTCAGGAAGACTTCGACAGACTGAGACCGCTCTTATATCCAGACACAGACGTTATACTCATGTGCTTTGCTATTAACAATCCAGACAGTTTAGAAAACATCCCGGAGAAATGGACACCAGAGGTAAGAACAAAAAAATGTTTTGCATCAATCAATTGTTAAAAGGTTACACTACCACCTATAGGTTTACAATTTCTACTTAAAATATAATATGTGAATTAGAGGTATTGAGGTACATGTACATTTTTAGATGGGGTCGTCTGTAATAATTTAAGAATTGCATGCCGGTACTTGTACTGATATTTAGTGAGGTGGTCAATTTTTAATTTCTAATACATTATCTCTTTCGTTTTATGACAAATATAAGAAACTACTTTTTATGATACAATACCTTTAGATGTACTTGTAGCACGGTTGAGGATATTCAAATTCAACTTCTTTATCTGGTCATGAATTTAAACAGATTTATAGGGGTAAAAAAGAATGATCCAGAAGGTCTTTTTAGTTGTGAAATTTTGTGTAATACTGTTCTCTCTTTCATCTCTTCCTGTCCTGTCTAGGTCAAGCATTCCTGTCCCAACGTGCCCATCATCCTGGTGGGTAACAAGAAGGACCTTCGTAACGACGACAACACCAAGATGGAGCTGCAGCGGACCAAGAAGACCCCCGTCACGTACAACAAAGGTCACCGGATGGCAGTCAAGATCAATGCTGCCAAGTACATGGAGTGTTCGGCCGAGACCAACGATGGGGTGAGGGAGGTCTTTGAAACGGCCACAAGGGCAGCACTGCAGAGCATTGAGAGCAAGAAGCGCAAGAAGAAGCTTTCATGCAAGATCTTCTAAGACATCGTGTAAGATCTTCTAAGACATCGGACAATGATCAAACTGTGTCAGTCAAACTAAGTTTTTTTTTTTTAGAAGGCACATGTTTCAGTAAACTTTGGAGCTATTGAAGTGAGCGTGTACATGCAGGAATTTTTCAAGAAGACAATAGGAGGGATGTGTACATTGCAGGAAGAGCATATGGACCAGATGCATTTACCACAACAATACTCTACATTGAAGATGCGACCCGCGGTGACCTCATATACCAAGGTCGCACTGGAGTTTGTGAACTCTACTACACCTCGTGGCTAGTGTCTTGAGATTTTTACATAGATCTTCAGGCGGATGTAACCATTTTCTTTGTAGAGATAATTTTGCCAGCTGAGCTCTCTCTCATGTATTACTACGTCTAATTACCCAGAGATTTTTTTAAAAATAGAATAGACCGTAGGCCTAGTAAATGGAACAGCTTTTCTTTCTGGGATGAGTGTTTCACTTTGAGTTTAGTACCTGGAAATAAGTTAATTTTCTTGTGTATCATTTTAAGCAGTCAAGCTTGATGGGCATCCATGATGTGATAAAGCAAAGCACTAAATATGCAATATAGATTTGTAATTATTTCAATTGTGAAACACAAAATATTGTCTGTTGAGAGCCAGAAGGGTATTATTGCCTCTTTTAAACATATTCGTATGAGAGGGAATCAACACCTTTTCGGCTCTGAACCAAAATTATGCTCTGTTGCTTAATACTCTTTTCTCAGTCTTGATGTAAAATGATTATCCTCTGTTGAGAGCCAGAAGGAAGTAAACTCTGTACCGGTATCAAAAGGATACAAGTTAACAACCTTCTAGCTCGTTTGAGCAGGCGATATATGTTCCTGTATGCAAACATACCGATTGCAACAGCTCTAGTATTTTTCTTAAGAAATGGTAATTCTTAAGAAAGTTACACAAAAGTCATGTAGAGTGTATGTATACAGTATATATGTAGGGAAGGCTCCTTTTGTTTTCCTCCCAGTTTCCAAAGTTAATTAGGATTCTTAGTATTAATGGTGATTCACTACGTAATACTTATGGAATTGATTGTGGACGCTTTCATGTTTGAAACTAAGCAATACAAACTCAACAACAAGAGCATTATGGAATTGATAAGAGAAATAAGCTAAAAAAATGCTACTGTGAATGGCATATTCTTGTAAATTATCAAAAGAGTGTGTGTGTGGGGTGTGAGAAAGAGAAAGAGGGAGAGATTGACATCCTTTTCAAGTGTGCCTACATGTATATTGTAATGAAGCGACCTTCAGAAAATTGCCTTATTAAAATGTTTTTTTCTTAAAACATGATATTCTTTTTTTTCACGATATGCCTTTTCAAACTGACATGCCATCATGAGATTTTATTGTGTGTAACTTTTGCAATTGATAATTTGTTAAGAAATTATTCAGGGTTTTGGGAGGTGAAATTTGTGTACATTTTCTTTAAGCTGTGATGGGTGTATGTTCTTTACATTGTCAAGAGGTGAAAAAGGGGGATTTCTTTGCCAACGCTTTCACTTGTGTTTTTGCTTGTTTTCTATTTTCTTGTTGTGAAGTATACAAATACACAGTACATGGTAACTATGGAAACACGATCTGAGTGTAATCTATACCATATACAGTGTACATTATGTGGTGGAAGATGACTGCATCTTGGTGCCTTTTTGGTTTTCTTCCATTTGTCTCAAACAGTTCAAGGCTCGTATGAAAAAAACTACAACTGCTTCAAAGATTGTCATAGCGAATGTACATACATGTATGGCATTGAACATTATGATGCATTTTGCAATTAATAAATGTTTAGTAAATCAGAGATCTTGAATGGCAAACTTACTTGCGGTTTAGCAGATTCAATTTCTTAACAAACTGCGATAAATGTACATACATGTACATGTACATACATGTACAAGTATTCTCCAATATTTTGTGTGCAGGATGAAAAAAGTCACCAAAGAGACAGAAAAGTTGCATCTGGGCCCTGTTTCACAAAACTTGTTATCAATAACAAATTTGCCTTAAGCCGATCATATGGTTTTAGTAGCTTATAACAGTTATTGATATCAAGTTTTGTGAAACAGGGCCCTGATCTTTGAGCTCATACCCTAGTGGTTCTGTAGATGTCTTTCATTACATTTTGTACAAACAAAAATTCAGTATTTCTATTTCATGATGCAGTGCCTTGGTACAAGCTGGTAATTCTAATTTTTCGTACTTGCACATTTTGGATCTCAATATTATACTAAGCAGTAATGACTTATGAGGACCCTTAAAATGCAAAAAGTACCATTCATTGTAAGCTACATGTAGTTTTAGTACACAAACTATCGCAAGTCATTATCCCTTATTAGTACAAGTTTAATTTGTGTCATGTACATGACTGTACTAGATATTGAAATATCGCAAGTCATTGGTGACAAATCACAAGATTTTTGCTGAGGGGAGGTCGTCATGCAGTGATCTTTTCAAACAAATTCAAAAGTTCATAACAAGAAGGCATGTTAATTACCTGGTACAAGTCTTGTCAATGCATATATTAATACAATTATCTGTTATTATTCTTTTCAATTGTAAGCTCCAATGATAACACTAATATTCTCTTTCAAGTTATCATCAAAAGTCCAGACTTGTAGTAAAAACACTAGAAATTTTCAAATGTCAATGCCTTCAAATTTTCATGAGTCTTCACAAAACATTTTGCTGTTGCCAAGAGCATCAATGTATCACTTTGGTGATTTGTATATACTGTATGCATATATTGGAAGGTGAAATTTGATGGTTATGAATATATTTTGCGTATAAGCTGCCTGTTGTTAGCCTGTGTATTGTAGTCTGATCTGACTTTTAGACACTCACAATGCCCGATACAAGGTCAACAAAGGCCCTCATCAAGGAAATTCTTTTGAAGGATGAAGACATTCTCAAAGTGATAAACGAGAGAGTGGCCCAGTCAATGGAAGCCAAATGCCACGACCTCATTGTGAGAATGGAGAAACAAGAAGGCCAAATATTTGAGCTGCAGCAAAAGCTCGATTCTACGGAGCATCAAAACACCATTCTGAAGACAAGATCTGAGGGGCAGCAAAACCTCATCAAGAAGCTTCAACTAGAGCAGAATGACCAGGAACAATATTCTCGGCGGAACTGCATCCGGGTGTTTGGTGTCCCTGAATCTCCTCAAGAAGACACCACTACAACAATCTGCAAGATTGCGCAAGAGAAACTGCGCATCACTTTAAAGCCAGAAGACATCGACAGATCTCACCGCGTTCGAAGACGGAATCCACCTCCCCATCCAGGATCACGGCCAAAACCAGCGGCCATCATCGTGAAGCTGACATCATATCAACATATCAACATCTTGTATGCTCTCGTGCACAACAATGTCTATCCCTTAAAATAAATAAAATACGTACATGGAGATACCAGACAGTGGCATGGGGTTCCACAGAGTCGATGCTCACTCTTCTTTGTCAATGAAACAATAATTGGCGGAAAGACTGCTTCTATTTGTCTATAATAGGTTCGAGTACAGAACCAAATAAATAAACACCAGAGTGAAAACAGTATTCAATTTTTCAAAATATTTATCGCACCTGTTTTGTGTCGTAGTATTACATGGATGGAATAGGCCATTTTCTTTTAAAATGCAATCCAATGAAATGTATATATATTCTTCTGAGTGCAAATTGCATATGTTACAAGTTGTTAGGTAGGAAAAGGGATGATTGTTGAACCTAGATACACCAAAAGTGTGCAACTTACATTCTGACTTTTGGGTGAATGTATTAAATAGTTCATCGCCAAGTTAACTAATTTAAACACATTTTTTAAATGGGTCTATTTATTGTTGCTATGTCAGACAACTTTAGGGCTGTCAAGGACAAGTTATGTTCAAGAAGTATCCTTAAAATTTGAAAACAATAGTAAACTGGTCTATTGTATCTGGAATTACAAAGATATTCATATTGGAGAATATATAGTATACTAGAACACAGGTATATAACGAAAGAGAGAGAAAGAGAATGAGAGAGAGAGAGAGAGAGAGAGTGAGAGGGAGAGAAAGAGTGAGAGGGAGAGAAAGAGAGAGAGAGAGAGAGAGAAAGAGAGAGAGAGAGTGAGAGGGAGAGAAAGGGGAAACTGAATTTAGACAATTAGGGCTTATTAAGAGTCGAAAACGGTACAGCGAATCGTCTTCTATTTCTAATAATTTAATGAAACGTCAAAGCTTCCGCGCTTCGCGCGGGAGGGGGGGGGGGGGAAACTTCATTGAGACAAGGATTAAAGTCGAGAACGGTACAATAAATCGTCTTCTTTTCCTAATAATCTAAGGAAATGCCTAAGCTTAACGCCTAACACCCACACACCCCCTTAATGATCGAGCGCGCTTCGCGCGCTCTTTAAGTGATTCGCTTGCTCACTACCGCCCTCCCTAAAATAAGATTCTATCTCCGCGCCTGCATTAAAATATATAGCTTTGATGCTGACTCAGTTGACGAAATAATTCGTAAATTTAAGTCGTCGAGGAAAATGACCAATTGCCCAAACGCAAGTACTATAGATAGTCCATAGGAAAAACAATTTAGCCTTTGTGTTCTATTCTTAGACATTCGATCAATTCTATTTCAACGCGTATAATATACCAAGTAATGTTCTTGCTTTTTAATTTCTTTCATTATTATGTGTTTATACAGAAAACGTTAATGGGCTTAACATAATATAAAATCATAAACTGTGAATTGTGGATGAAGAAAAAAAATATTAGGGTGAAGAATGGTTGTACACCATATTTCACTCCCATTTACATCTAGAACTTACTTAAAATTAAATTAACAGCCTATTTTGACATGTACTTCAAGGTATTATCATTGTCTATCTATTTGTACTTCGTCAAAATTTGATGGCAACAAAATTAAAGACAATATGAAAGAACGAAATACTATTCTATTTCGTTCTTTCATATTGTCTTTAATTGTGTTGCCATCCATCCCCCTGTTCTCAGTTGAAATGCAACAAATAAAATGTTTCAAAACATGTG